AATAGAGCTATTAAACTTATTTTGTGGTTGTTGGCAATCTTCGACCTTTTCGCATAAACGCACCCATATGAAGGCATGTATCTAAAATCCCATATATTACACTATAAACTAGAAATATCTTTAAAGTATTTTTTTTAAATTATCCTGTTTACTACTATTGTCTACCATATATTTCTAAAATTTATTTGTCAATAATTCTTATACCATTATATCTAATAGTTCTTAATGCTAGTATTTTATAAAAATAGCATATAAGCTAAAAGAAAATTCCTATAGTATTTCTATAAATAAACCTGTTTGAAAACACCTAGTTTTTACTATAGTATTTTCTTAATAAGTAATATCTTATTTGATCTCTGTAATACAACTTGATATGGATAATGTGAGTATCTTTTCTTCTACCAAAATTTATCAAAATATCTCCAGATCCTTTCTTCCATTCTTTTCCCCCAGATATAATAGTAAAATGTTTGTTAGAAAACAGTACGCGATACTGGAGAGATATGAGCTGTTACTTCAATTCAGTTTTGTATACTTTAAGAGGGGTAACAACTGTAGGATATTTAAGGCAGTTACCCTGAAAATGGTATTTTACAAATACAGAGAGAAAACAGAAAATAGAAGAGGTCTGTTCTGCGTCTGGTATCATACGAGTATAAGTATTCCTGCGAGGCGAATAATAACTCCTAGAACTCTTTAGAGGTCCAGAAATACCATGAGACTGTCAATCTAATTGGGAATTGGTAACCTTGATACTCTACCACACTAGAATCAAATATCCACCACAAATGTCTGAGTAAGGATGTCTTGCGGCACAGTGCTGACAATGCTATGCCCAGTTCAGTGTGGGTCTAAGTGGTAGGAGTAGGGATTAATAAGTGGTCCCACGAAATGAAAAAGAAAGCCCTCGTGGACAATAGGAAACGGAAGATATAATTGGTGAACAGACAGGGGGGTGAGGAAATATATGGGACAGGGGTCAGGGGTGGCGAAGAGCAAGTATTCTTTAAGAAGTGAAAGAAGAATTGAGATAAGGCTCGTGAGGGAAAATAGTCCTGGCCTTTACGTGGAAGAGCGAAAGAGACAGGTGAGCACGCCGGTAGCTGAGGAATTAGTCCTTGGGAGGAGGATGGGGGGGGGAAGAAAGGAGGCTTGAATGTACGGAGGGGGGGGGAGGAAGGAATGAGCGCCAACGCTGACATTTTATACCCATCTCCAACTGCGAGTAATCCAAAAACCTTCCCCTCCGCCTTACTCCCACCCCCACCGTAGCCCTGCACGCAAGACAGGTACTGTCCAACCATAAACCCTTCGGGATTCTAACTCCCATTCCCGAATACCAGTGCCTAGTACTACCCACCCTCCCCCACCCTGGTCATATCGGCACATCGGGTCCGGAAAGGATTACTCCCCACTAAACGTTCAAAGCAGAGAGGAGGCGTAACAAAGGGAAAATGAAGCGGAAGGGAGAAATGGAAGGTAGGAAAATACGGGGCGGAGGCGGAGAGGGGAATGGGTGAGTGAGATATGCGAGGTGACGGAGATGGCGTGAGTGGCATGGCATGCTATGGATGGTGGATTGTGGGGCTGGGAGAGCATGCAAGGGGCGGTAGGGGATTGAACCCTCGCGGATGGTGAGGCGAGTGCTGGGTTATGATTCTGGTACTAGTGAGGTGAGGCACTAGAGTTTATTGGGTCCGCTGCGGGGATCGTATTTGCACTGATGGAAAGGCTATCATACGGGTGAGCATATCGAGTATAGGACTGGTAGGAGGGGATGATATGATGTTGTGCTCTACGATACGGAGATCGAAATTATCCGTGTTTCATGCCGCAGTTTAAGAATTCAAGGGCTGAAGGAAAGAAAAAAAAATTCGATTCCTGCCACGAAAAACTAATGAATAAAAAGGAAAAGAAAAGAAAAAACCACACTCAAAACTCCCATACATAGCAAAAAGAGAAAAAGAAAAAAAAGAGTGACAAGATATAAAACAAAATAAAAATTGATCCACGGAAGCCGAACAAGTAAATCTACCCCTATCTCAAAACCCTGACCAACCCCCAAAAATCTCTGCGCCGCTGGTACCAACCATTCCCATGCCTCCTCCGGCCCCATAGTGCATGCCTGGGATCGTAGCCGAATTTCCTTCCCAGGGGATAGAGGAATCGACGGTGCCGACCTCACGCATCATTTCAAAGAGTCCGCGGCTGTCAATCACGCCCATCATTTCCACCGGGTTTCCGTGTAGTGCTGCATCATAATAGTGGTCCTGGTGGGGGTTGTGGTGGTCCGTTCTGTACGGTTGCGGTGGTGGCGGCATTAGCATATCACCGTCGTATGTGGGCGGCGGCGCGGGGGGATTATAGGCCGGCGGAGGACTGGGTACGTGCACAATATTCGCGAGTGATGCTGGGAGGTTCTTGACGACACGGGATTCGTGTCCGAAGACTTGTTGCTGTTGCTGGTATAGCTCCTTCTGGTGTTGTTGTTGCTGCCATTCCATCTTTAAGCGTTTGGCGCCTGGACGCTCGACCGAGTACTCGGTTGTGCAGAGTTGGACGGTGGCAGAGGCTAGTGATTCGAAGACGTCGCGGCAGCCCTGGGCCGCCGGGCACTTGTCTATCATGCTGCCGAGGACGTCGACACAGGCTAGGTTGTTGAAGTCTATCTGTTCGACGGTTGTCTTGCGGCGCACCTCTCGGGAGTGCCAAAGGGCGTAAAGGTAGGATGTTCCCGCCGTAAAGAGGTTGTGGCATGCGAGCCAGGTATAATTGATGCATTTCTCGCGGTGGAGCTGCCGGTAGAGCCTTATTATTCTACTCCCCGAGTCGGCGATCACTTCGAATGCTTCTGTGGATGGAGTTGGGACTGTGGGGCATAACCCATACAAGAGCAGTCGGGTTTGCTGATAATTCAGATCAATAAAGGACAGGTTATATCCACAGTTGTTCATATCGGCTCTCGACTTTGGCACGGACTCGCACCACAACGTCAGTCGTGATTCAACGTCCTTGCGCCATTCTTCGACTGTCGCAAATTGTCGGGGAAGCGCCGAAATGGACTGGTAGAGGACCTGTTGAATCTCGGATTGGATTTGACGAATTTTGAAGATGTGAATCGATATCGTTCGACAAGACCTGATCCTCCTATCCTCGTCGCCTGCATCCGTCTGCGGCGCCTCACTCCACCCATCAATCTCTTCCAGGGGAAAAGGGGTCCCGATAGCCTCGTCGGCAATCCCAAATGGTCGTCCAAGATAGACACAAATCTGCCGGTCAAGGCAGTAGGTACACCACCAGAGCCGCCGTCGCTCATCAATCGTGAGTGGGTCCCACATCTTTTCCGCCTTTTGCGTATTCTCCTGATGCAGGCCAAGGTCGATTGCCAGCCGCATCGCTGCACCAAGGACATACCACACACCTGGAGCTGCAGGCCGCATAATGGAGTACAATGCTAAAAGCAGTATCCCTTTCAACCCATCCAGGCGGTTATTTGTAAGTGAGATGGAGGAGAAAAGGGAGTCCATGTGTAGCATCGCTGATGCATGGTACCGCTCTGGCAAAGACTCCGTCCGCGAAGACATTGCCGTAGCGATGGCGAATACCATGTATAGGAAATACAAATCCGCACGGTGCTGGTGATCTTTTTCGCCCCCACCAGTTCCCCCTGCGCCCCCCTCCGCTGGCAACCCATCCCCCCCCTCCTCCTCGATCTTTGAACACGCCCGCCCGAACATCCTTTCAAATGATGGTCTGTGGAGGATTGGCGTCTGTGGATTGGCCTGATTGAAGAATATGTCAACATAATTCTCCCCCATCTGACGGCGAGGGAAAGGAGCGGGTGAGGGACGTTGCCGGCTGCGAGGAATTTGGGTGGATGAGTCTGTCGCGACTTCGGAATCCGCATTGGGAGGCTTGGGAGAGGAGCTGGGGGGATTAGATTGGATGGATGCCGGTTGTGATGATTGGGGGTTGTCCTTGTTTGTCGTCTTTACAGCTGCAAACATCAAGCGGGCAAAACTAATTCAACATAGTTAGTCGACTCCAATACCCCAGCCCGGTGCCGCGACCATGGAGGGAACAGGGCCACACACGAGATTCCCGATGTCCCTCCCAGAAAGCCGGGCGCACTAGTGCCCTGCACGCTCACAAGTCCGACCTGACTGACGAGATTCTCAATATCCGGGCGTAAATGTAGTGCCTTTTCTCCTCCATCATCCTGAGCGTGATCCTCCGATGCTTCTCCCCCTTCCTCCGGGGGAGCGCTACTCAGCTTCCGCTTGACCCCCCCTCCTCCAGTCCGGCCAGGGTTAGACTCGGTACCATCATTAGAAATTCCCATCGCCTGCTCCAGAAACCTCACTCGCTTCTCCAACCAGTCCACATAACTCCTAGGAACCTCCCTTCCCGTCGCCGCATCGATCCCCACACATTCTATACCAGCTTTGGCACACGATGAACAATTCGGGAATAACTGATCGCATTTAGTTTTACGGGAGCGGCAGCGGTTACAGGCAGAGATAGAGCGTGAGATCTGCCCACCCGAACTTCGTCGTCGCGACGAGGCTGTGGATGATGATGAGGAAGGCGAAGGAGCATTGAAGGTTGGACGATGAGTGGTGGGAGAAGGTATGCGGCTACCGCCTGTGGGGGAATTTAATGCTCGGGATTTCTTGGGAAGGGTCCCGGCGGTGGAAGTTGGGGATGGAGGTTTCGTCTTCATTGTTTAAATGAAACGAGGGGGGAAGGGGAGGCGCGACTAAAGCTTGTTTACCGACGGTTGTCTCTGGGTGTGGAGTGGTGTACGAGTAGTATCCAGGCTTTGTATAGGGAGGATGCAACGAGGATGTGATGGGGATGAGCGTGCGCTGTAAGTCGAGTCTTCGAAGGAAAGTCCTCTATAGCCTTGGGGAGGGGGTATTGGTGGGGAGGGAGGGAGGGAGAGAGGGAGGGAAGGGAGGGAAGGGAGGTGTAGTTTGGTAAGAAAGGAGGAAGGAGAATCGGGGAAGATAACAGCCCCGGGAGTACTTTGGCCGTTATTTTGAAAAGTTCGGGAACAGCTTATCGCGAGTTAAGCGGTTGGTGATTGTAGTACTCGTACATAGCCTACAGTATATATCATCCCAGCAAGAGTGCAGCACTGTACTCGAGTACTTGTGAATAGCCTAGTATCTCGCTCACCCCACAGTAATTGGGGAAGAAAGTCTGAACAAGGGCAACCTTACGGTGCAGGGAAGGGGAGAAGGGTCGAAAAAAATAAAATCAAATAAGAAAAAATAAATAAATAAAATAGAACAAGAACTACCGTAGGAGAACCTCAAGGACCAGGTGCCGTGGATAATATGATAGTCGAGATGAACAAGTGAATAATGACAATTAAAAGAAGGGAGGATTCATCCCCAGATCCCATTTCCCCATTTCCCCATATCCCCACCACCATCATTCCCATTTTTTCCCCGTATATCGGGTTTATTCTATTTCAAGTACCGTAGAGCACAACCCCTTCCAAGGCTCAACCACTGTACCGTACTTGTGTATCCTGCGGCCCGGAATCAGGTCGTAAGGGTGGGTACGATGGATCCTTAATGGTATCAGGTAATCAAAACAAAAAACCAATGTCACAAAAGCAAAATACGAGTAGAAAAAACAAATAAGCAAAAACATTACCCGTCACAAAACTCGAACCCTTTCAGAGAAGCAAAGGGCACGCACAGAGCGTATGCCGTCTGTTCAATTGGATAATGGAAATCTCACCTCCCCCCCACGCCTATCCCATCATACTTGGACCGCTCTTCTGGAAGGGTCCACAATCCACTCCCAAGAGAAGTGGGATAGGGGGCAAGAAAAAAAGATTCCACTGCCATAACCACGCTGCTCGAGCACCTTACCGTACCAAGAGACTGGATTCGGCCCGCCAAAACTTGAACCTCCTCCTCCTCAAACGCGCTACTTAACGGGGTTTGACAGCAACAGCTGTCTCGTGGATAGTAGCTTTTTCCGTGGAGGACGTCGTGCCGTACCGTACCGGATCGTACCGTTCCCCAGATCCCCCTTTTTGATCCATTCCGCCGCGCCTTATGGTAAGAAAGAGCTTGCCCATATCCCGCGGGACGCTGAAGAAAAAGCGAGGGCGGCTCCTGCATTCGCTTCCAATCACCTCACGTGGGCACCATGCACGCGTGTGGGGTTAGATTCCTTCGCACCCATCCTCCTCTAGATCTAATTGGGTCTCCACGCGATGTCACAATAAGGTTACCCGGAATAATAATATTCCGGTTGAAACAAAAAAGAGGCCCCCACCCGAGATTTGCTCGCAAGACCGGACTTCTCGGGGTTGTCTAGCAGGCCAGGGAGGACAGGCATTGTGTCCACAAGTACCGACACCCGGCAAAGGAGGAAAGCTTATCTCACGTCTCCCTACGTTATGGGTACCATATCCCTGGTTTTGCTTGAACCTCGCTGCTGCCGCTGCTCTGATGGCCGGGAAACCGTGTAAGCCGGTGGCGCACGATTAGTTTTTAGTCACTGGTGTGTCCGGGACATGATTAGTGGTTTGACTTCATCGGCCGGCGGGACAAGCCCTTCAGCGGTCGGGTTTGATACAGCCACTCCAATTCCAGAGATGCTGAACCCAGTACCGGTATTCGGGCTGGGTAAACCCGGGGTAAACTTGGGTCGTGTCAGCCAGTTGGCGTGTCGATGTACTATCATAGTACTCCCCGTAGCCCGCACCCCAAGCAACCGGGAAATCTGCTGCGTGCCTCTCGGCCCCACCACCCAAAGGTCGGAGGTGAGATTCCATAGGCTACCAGACGGTCGTGACACGGATACCCATAATTGAAACGACAACTCCCAAAGTGGGGATTGTGCATAAGTATTCCAGGCGCGGCGCCGGTCCGATGCCGGCCGGGGGGGCTCTGGGTTTGTCTTGTTCAGGAGAGGCTCGTGGTTATGCGTAGGAGCCCATAGCACTTTCGTCTTCAGGAGCCTCAACAGGGGGGACAGGGATCCGCTGACAAGGGATAGGTCTCTGCGTTTCAACCACCGATTCCAAGGATGATTTTCAACTCTGAGCTCCCGATCCGGTTGTCATCACAGTTCAAGATGCTTTTGTGGTGGGGTGTGTAGGCGCCGAGAGGATCTTTGCTAGTGTGTAGGGCTACCGGTATGGGAGAAGAGAAGTCTTAATTGCATGACCGATCCCCGGTCTCCGCGCCTTAGAGAGCGGTCGGCGCGCTTAAGCCGTATCCTTCCCTGTGGCTACTCGCGCCTTTGATTGGGGGCTAGCATTTCTTGTCGGTTTTGCACCAAGATATCGAAATAAGAAGGATTCTATCGTTCTCCATCTCCAATGAGCTCGCCGTCTCATTGAGAATTTCATCACGTACTCAGGGTGGGAATCGAGGGGAGTGCCTGAGGCCTTGGGGATTAGTCGAGATTTTTGCTTGCCCCCCCTGTTAGCTTTGAAAGCGGACCTCCTTGATAGCCGATATATGAGCGAATGACCTAGATTTGGAGAAAAAGGCGGCGAAATGGAGTATCACAGAATTCCTCTACCTAAAGCAAGCCAGGAAGATATCGACACCTAGGGGGGGGGGGGGTACACAGTATTGATCCCTACTATCGAATACCGTCATCCCAACATTGTTCTCTTTTCCAAGATTGGTTTATCGGAATTCTCACGTGGGTAGAGATGGTGTTTCTTCAGAAAATGAGACCTCTTGAGCGGTGTTTCTCTTTGGTTACCTAGGATCGGAGAGTAGTGTGCTCGTACTCGTACCGGTACTCAACTCGTACTATCAAGAAAACTATTATCGTATCTAATCAATCTGATCACAGTGCCCACCCCACACCCCACTCTATTTAGTGCGGGCAATGCCATTGAATGAACCAAATGTACTCGTACAAGTGCGGCCGATAAATATATTCGTCACGTGCCTTATCTAAGGACACATCACAGCCAAAAGGTGCACCGAAATTTTCTTATCAGACTCACGTGACGAATATCTCTATTGGCCGCACTCATGAAGTTATGTCTGGATCATCCCGCGGGGTCCTCACCGATGAGCAGACTCCAACGGCACACTTCCATTCTCTCCCTTTTGCCAGGAGCGGGCCCCGATCGCCCTCTGAAAACAATTACACCCTAGAAAAGCCGACCGGGCGCAAGCAAAGAAGGGGGGTCGTTTATGCAAAACACCTGAATGAGCAAAAACACTACCGGAGAAAAACTCCACTGCAGTGAACGAACGGCTACGGGAGCAAACGCCTACTCTCGAGGCCTCGAGCAAGGTATCCATAGCTGTATCATACTCGAGTACAACATATCTGAGAAGCCCGATCTCCTCACCCGATACCCCCCTAATCAAATCCATTCAGTCCCGCACCCTGGGCCCACTCGCCCTAGAGCAGCAAGGCATACCTAGCAAGCCGTAGGAATGGAAGGAGAGCGAGGGTAAGCAACTAAGCGAGGGGAAACAAATTCCCCAATATCTCTGACTTGTTTGGAAAGGCAGGCGAAAGCCTCTAGCAAGATCTCCACCCTTCCTGGAGCTGGGTATTACGGCTCTGCGTGCTCAATACCACTTACAATTGGTTCAAATGGTTTGAAATTGCCTTGATATCTCGAGACTTCTATTATGCACTAACTTACCCTTCAATAGGAACTGTGTGTTGTCCGGATCGCTAGATACGGTCGCCACTCTACACCCGGAACTCAAGATTACATCTTCTGTCTGTCCCCCTCGCTACCAGCGGAGCCCCTGTGCCCACTAAAGGCACAGCAATCCTGGAAGCGCAGGAGGAACACAAGCAAGAAAGAGAGGTGAAATCAAATTGAAAAACACCAGAATATGTAAGAAATTAAAATGAGCAAGGCAGTTGCTGGCCAACCCCTAGGTACTGGAGCGAATGCTGACACTCGAGGTATCGGCTAGGGCTTTTCTAGTACAGTAGTTGAATACCGGAGTAGGAAACGTTCAAAAACTCCTGAAACTTGGGAACTCTTTTTCTCCCCGAATCATCAAAAAAAAAAGGCTAGAAGCGGGCTGGATTAACATAACGGGATAATAAATGCGCATTACCGGTAGGGTAACCAACATCGGCGGTTAATCTTCCCTGCTGCCCAAGGAGCTGTTGGACACATACAAGTACCAACAGTTAGAGATGAAAGGAAAGTGTGGTGGTATTTTGGCGCTACGATTTCAAGGATTAGAACGGCATCCTGGCTCGTGAGAGAGACTTGCTTTGCATCTAGAGAATCATACACTAGGAAGGCCAATTTATCTTCACCATGGATGACTGAGGACTTAGGGGATCGCGTGAAGTCGAGTCAGTAAATGGCAGACTGGTCTTACGCATATGCCACCTTCGAGCCGTGAAGCGGGTAGGTCGACTGTACTGGAATAACGGAACCAAGTGCCATTCCCCTTGGAGTTGCCTCCACTGGTAGGGTTTGGTAAAGGAGGGAGGAATTGCTTTTTTCTGTCCATCTGGAAGGGTGAGCAGCTCTTTTTTTTTGCGGCGTTTTTTCGCCCCTTTTCCAGAGTAAGGAATTCTCGACTACATACGGTAGCTAACGGCCCAATTACGGTCACACCTCGCTATCCTGGATCTCGATAATCCAGATACCTCGCTGTCCCGTATGAATCTCGGTGAACTCTGAGCTTCTTTCCACCAAAACCTCAACCGCTGTCCCGGATCCTCGCTGTATCGGACAAATTCTTCAGATTTTGGCCTTCCGGGATAGCGAGGTGCGACTGTACTCTAATCTTTGCGGCGGGGGACGGAGAATAAAGTTTTAACGATCCTGTATCCTTCCCGCTCGTGTATTTGTCTAGGGGAGGTAGGGCACGTGGGAGAAGGATACCGGTACGGTATCTGGCAAGCGAGTCAGCCCTTACCATCAAATACAGCATAGCATCAAATACGTAATAATAATAATAAAAGTAATAATAATAATAGAAATTGCGGCAGGGGATAACCACATCGGTAGAAATAGTGACTGTGATTAAAGCATTTCTACAGTATAGAATATTCCATATCCGTAGTCTTGCCACTCTCTTCACAGGAGAAGCGCAGCTGCCGGTGCGGTACGGACCATGATACTGATAAACCCTTTAGACGAATTCTACTACCGATAGTTTAAATCCGCATGGTTGCCCTCATGGGATGTCACTCGCTCACCACGCTTTGGGGAACCTGGCTAGAGAGGATTGTATTGGATCTATTTCCCACGGATTTGGGTAGATCGCGAAGAAAATACAAATCGAGGATAGAAAGATAATTTTGCCCTCCCCGGTTATTGATAACTCATGGGGCGGAGGCGATGCAAAACACATTGCCGTTGTTGTTCCATGCCGTAATTTAAAGAGCTAGGATGGGCACTCCGGCTCGGACCTACCAGCACTATATATCCAAACAACCTGCCACCATAGGAGGAACCTAGAGGCGCGGCCGGGACGCGTTTTGAAAAGGCGGAAATATCTCTTGACGGTGTATGCTCACTGCTTCCCGACATCATAATGTTGTAGGTGGGCTGTTATTAACCATTTTTATATGTATCGACACTTCGGGCGGATCGCGAAAGCTCGATTGGGGATGCTCAGCTCGCTCGCTGGGACACGGTTTGGGGGTTATCATGCACTCGGATGTTCCTCGCCGGGAGTATGACATATTGCGGAACAGGTTTGGAAATTTTTCCCAAAGGCGGTTAGCATTCCCCTGTATCCCCGGAAGGCTTTAAGCGATATCTGGAGGCGGAGTTTGATGGAGATGAGGAGCATAATCTACTGGATAGTGGATCGCGGGTACGGTAGATGTTATGAGGGCAATTCCGGAGGAGATATCCGAGGTGTAAGTAAGGGAGAACCAAGCACTTTCCCAAGCATGGGCCGTTTACTAACACATCAGTACCGGTATATTCCACTTCATTTCCTCCACATGGGCGTGATTCTGGGAGAAATGGCAGAATCGCGAAGGAAGAAAACCCTGTATTGCCAGAAGGAAATACCGGTAGGCTAGGCAGTACCTCCACAGCAGCACCAGAACGGGCCAACGTCCGGAAGAGATCTTGAGGTAATGCGGGAGTTCTAACTTAGCTATTCTGTCTGTATCCCCCGTTATAGGAGTACAAACTTGCCGTATCCCATTCCCCGGGGCTTGTGACGGGATCTACAGGTCTGGACGCCACCAATCTCCCTCCTGTATCAACCCTGCTAGGATGCTTTCTAAAGTTCGGCACGCTTGACGCGTCCTGCCGGTACGCTTCACCTTACCCATTTTACTCTTCAAGAGCACCTCGTCTCTCCAACGGACCTGTCTTGTTTCACACCCCTATGCCATGACGACCGAGGTATGTTTTGCGTCCCATAGCTTCCGCTCTGCACAAAGCCACTTGCCAACTCCCTGCCATAACTTAATCTGTCAAGTCTGCCCCGTGCTACTAGGGATAGACTCCGTGGGGGAAACCACAGAGTGTAAGAAACCACAGCAGCCAGACCGGCTGATTGATTTAATTGAAAGGAATGAGTTGACTGCCCTTATCGTACCGAGAGAGAGAAGACTGGCCGAGGAATGTTTTAGTGAAGAGTACACCCCCCGGGGATCTACAGGACTTCATGTTGATGTGCAAGTTACTTCAGGATAATGGAGGTTAAGGTTGCGTTATCGGGGATGAAGGAATGGGACCTTAAGCCAACTGACCTTCAATACATATAGCATTCGCATGTGCTGGTAGAAAGGGGCGGTATCGCAAACATGCGGTTGGGCAGTGATGTCGTTAGTATTACTAGTGCAGATATACATTCTCAAACACCACTCCTCTGCGATGCGTTTACGGAGACTCCTGTGCCACTCTGTGCTTTTCCATATTTATTGAATCTGCCTTCTGGATTTTCTGGTGTTTGTTGTTCATTGTCAGTCCTTGGCTTCGCTATGCTTGCACCCACGTCAAGCAAAGGAGGCTGGGCGAAACATGCATTGATTCTGGTCACTGGGACCTCCGAGGTAATTTTGTGACAACTTATGGGTAATACACCGTCATTTCCTGCTCATTTTTAGTTTTGAATTTTGATCCACCGGTACCCCCCGTAACAACCACCACCCCGGGGTCGTACTCAGAGTTAACCGCGAGTGCTTCCTCACATCCTTTACCCCAGATCTTCCCCGAAAACCCCAGAGTCGTTTCCCTAACTCCCCCTCCTAGCAACCTGTCCTTTCGGCAACCCGAGTTATTCCCCTAAACCTCCTATAAAATATCACAGCTGGACACTCTGAACTCTCCTCTTGCAGTTGGATAATTTATCTCTCCAGATACCCTTTCATGACCTAACCACGGAGCACCAAGATACAGACATAGCGTGTGAATCCCATGAACATTCTGTAAGCTGCATGGTTATCTTGGATGACACCTGGAATGAATGGTGCCGGGGATGGGTACGTTCCTGAAACCGGGGATAACGTAGAGACCCGGTTGGAGATCTAAACCTCTTTCTTAATTTCCGATGCGTTGAGTGTTATGCGGGGTGGTCTGCTGCTTGTCTCTCTTGAGCAGCGTTCGGCCCGAGAATTATGGAATTGTCCTCGGTGCTGGTTGAGTGTGCTATTATATATACCAACCGTTATCTATTCCGAAAACCGTGTGAACAGAGAATGAGCAACGGACGAAAATGAGGCATGGGCGTTTGGGGGATAGCGCCAATTTCACGATATCGTGCGCTTCCAGAAATGTCATAAGGTGCCTCCTTCGCATTTACTTGCACCAACATGCCCGTAAGAGATACTCGAACGCCGGCGACACCCTAAAAAATGCGCTCATCTATGCCTTAAGTAAGGCGAAGATGTTGGAACTGGTCCTGTCTAATCAGACTCTCAAATTTCTTACAGGGATTTATACTTGAAGTACAGTCGCACCTCGCTGTCCCGGATGGCCAAAATCCAAAAGAACCTGTCCGGGACAGCGGATAATAGCGGATTATCCGGGACAACGACTTTGATTTTGGTGTAAAAAAATCTAGAATTCAGCGAATTTCATCCGGGACAACGAAAAATCCGGGAGAGTGGGGTCCGGGACAACGGGGTGCGACTGTAAGGCTTTTCCGACGGGAATGTTTTGGAGTTGTACGGCTGCCTTGGATATTTTTCCTCAATCCATCAACTAAGACGTGTTCAGGAACTCTATTTTGGAAGCCCACTTTTATGTCCACTACCAGTAACGTTTCCCCTTCACTCCTTCATCAAGAATCACTCATATTTATTCCTTTTTCTCAACTCTGGTAGATAAGAAATGGACGATTATTTTAATCTATCATTGTACCCCCCCCCCTCGCTTCGTCAGACGTCTGGACTAGTTGTTCCCCAGGATCTCCTGCACCGAACAATATTTCCGAGGCTTGTTCGCACCATTTTTGAAAGGGGTGTAAGGAGTGAGGAGTGGAGAGCAACCGGGTTGAATAGGTTTTTTCATTTTTTTTTTCTTCTCAAGCGTAAAGATCAAGTTACAGCAAGCACTAGCCTGGTATCAAAAGTCATCAGTAGGTTGGCATCTCGCACCAAAGTGGGCAACTCCAGATCCAGAAATCTCACCTTGATTGCCCCGATAAAAACAACCCAAAGCTCGATAAATCTCTTCGAATAATGTGGAATTTGTTCTGAAAAGAATATCAAACTCCGTCAATAGACCCTGAGAGAAACATCAGAATCCTTTGGCACGGATGAAGGATGCCTGAAATCATACCAGTTTTCTTTTCGAAAGGCACCGTACCTTTCGCAAATCCTCACGAAACAAATCTTCGGCCATCAGCACTCACATGGAGGTGGCATAAATGGCACGGTTTTTACTAAAATAGGCCAAGGAAATATAAAGCGCGTAATGCTGCTTTGATTAACTCCATCTTGTTTCTGGGTGAGTTAAAGAGTTCCTAGAGTCATGTATTTTTGGCGCAGAATGCCAACCTACTCATGACTTCTGATGCCGATGGTCCAGTATGATGTTGTACAGTTGCATCTGGCTATAATGAACCTCGCAGCCACGCTAGTGAATTTACCGCAGAGTGCCGTTTGCTATTATGAACGCCCATAGTAACAATTAGCGAACGCGACTCTGAGGGTTGGACTTTTGGCATTCATTATAGCCAGATGCGGCTGTACAAGTACATGCAAACGAATTTTTTGCGGGGTGTCTACTCGAGTGATATGTGGTGATTCTAACCAGCCACCACAAGCTGGAGATCACGGATGGAGATGGGGAATTGGATGAGGCAATTTATATACCCAGTTCTTCTAGCATGACCAGTCGGTAATTAAGACCAGGACCATTAGTTACATACAACCTCCTCCTCCATCTGTTCACTCTATCTAACGAACGAACGAACGGGTGTGCCCCGCTCCAGAGAACAAAAACGGCTACAAAAGGAGATCACATCGGGTTTAATTAACAGTATGATAAATGAGAAGCAAGCGGCGGTATGTAAGTTAGCAGTCAAATATAAATATAAATCCATCACTCCTACCCCCACTCCGCTCCACTAAAAGAAATCCCCCCCAGCTTAGGATTAGTTGTCCCCGTGATAATTATCCAACGCCTCTTCAATACCGACAACATCGTAATACGCCGACAGTGAGGAGAAGAACTGCAGCTTCTGCTGGACCTCGTCGAGGGATGAACCGGTATATGCCACGGCCCTGAAGCGAGCTTCCATGGGATCTTCAAACTTGGTGGTCTCCGGGTAACCAAAGTCCGGGAGCGCGGTCACGTTGAATGCCGCCATCATGTCGTGGTCTTCGTGGATAGTGTTGTGGCAGTGGAACATGTATACGCCGTCCCAAGGCTATACCAAATTAGCTTGTGTTGAGTTCCGTGCAGGGAGAGGGGAGGGAGGAGGGGCATACTGCATATTTGGCAAGGACCGTAACAACCTCATTATTACCCAAGACAGCAACGTCCTTGAGGGCGGCCGCTTCATACGGCGTGACTCCGTTCCTGCCAGTGGTCAAATTCTGGTTTGTCTTCGCTCTGGAAACAATCTTGAAGTCAACGAGATGAATATGCACCGGATGTGACCATCCATTCCCGCCTGTGAGTTGCCACTTCTCGGTTGTGCCTCGCGGGACGTTGCGAAGGATTCTGTTGGCAGCATCCGAGAATGTCTGCCCGTTGATAGTCCACTGCCCATTGGTTCTTCCGAACGCAAATGTTTGGTCGATGGTCACGTGATCCGTCGGTAGGTCCAGGCTCACGAGCGTCGCGGGAAGAGGGCCGTTACCAACTTGCGAGGAGACCGTCGTCCCGACGCGGAATTGCATAATCTTGTCGGAGCCAATGTAGGCTGTGTCGACGAAGCAGTCGGCGTGGAACATCGTCACGTTCTGACCGGCCACGTCGGAAAAGTCGATTACTACCTCCCATCTCTCCGCCATGGCGGTAACGAGCGACTCGGTCTCCACGGGGTTTGACATCAACCCAGCGTCAGAGCCGATGACGTGAAATTTCTTGTTCGTCTGTGACTCCGCGGCCTGGAGCGTGATGTTGAAGGTCCGGCTTGCAGCCGCGTTGAGCACGCGGAAGCGGTACTTGCGTGGCTCTACCACAAGGTGCGGGAGGATCTGGCCGTTGACGGAGAAGGTATCCCCGTACACACTTATCAGCTCGCTGGATTCGTCCGTAATGTCGCCGCTCGCAGTGTATCTGCGGGAGTGCAGGAGCAGCGGGATGTCATAGTCTCCACGGGGAAGGTCGAGGGCTTCGTCCTGAGCGGCATCATCGAGAATATACATTCCCGCGAGACCGGCATAAGTGTTTATAGCGGTTATTCCAACTGCGTGATCCTATATTAAAAAAAAAAAAAAAAAGGCGGGAAAAGGGTTAGTAGGGATCTTGTCTTATCGGACTTGTTTGGGGAATCCATACATGATACCAAAGAGTCCTGGCGGTTTGGCTGTTGGGATAATAGTAGTCCTTGTACTGCTGCGGTTGGATAATATCTTCTGCCCATCCGTCGAAGGCTATTTGGTGTTAGTTAAGGTAACACGACCTGGGTGGATCTACACAGGAACGACTCACGTGCACGGCCTAAAAGTATCCCGGTGAGCAATTATTCCCCTGATTACTAATTTTAAGGGGGACTTACTATAGGACCCATGCAAATGGACCGAGGCCGAGCGATTGAACTGGTTCACAAAACGGACGACAGTCTCTCTACCCTTTGGGATGCGAAAGGTAGGCCCCGGTACTTGACCGTCGTATCCAACCAAGTTTGCATCCCCAAGGTCAGGGAACAAATTCTTAGTGATTGCCTGCATGGTGACTTCATAAAAGTCAATGGTGACGCCAGTGGTAGCGTTGGTGTAAGACCTGGAGAAATCGTCAGATATCCAGGGTCCAAGAAAAAATGGAACTGAACCTCCTACGTGGTGGGGACCTTCACTGGCATGATCGGGAGAGGGAACTGGAATTCATAATTGTATGCCGGGCTGACTCTGGCGATCTGCGCATTTACAAAGAGAGGAAGAAGAGCTGCCAAAGCGGCGGTAGAGAGAGACAAAGAATTGAACATCTTAAATGATAAAGAGAGTGAAATGCCAATTGCAAGAATTTGAACGAAAGACAGCGCTGGCCGGTGGTGAATCCAGAAGGGTGGGATTAAATGCCCCTTTTATATGGAAAATTAACCACTGTAGACCCCCCCCCCCGTATGAGGGTGGGTGCATTAAGAACTGGTTAAATCCGCTATCCGGAATTGGGGGCATAGCTTAGTAGCACGGGTAAGATCGAACAGGGCAGGAGATCTGGTGAGTCGTCATGATGCCGACACTCCCGCCCACAGACATCAGAAACTGAAGAGTACAGTACTTGTACTTAGAGTTGCATCGTGTTATCCTGGACAGCAAAAATCCGAAGAATCATTCCGGAACAGGGGGCGATGGAGGGCAACGGATCGATTTGTGGTGCAAGGAAATTTAGAGTTCACGGAGAATCCTACAGGATAGCGAGGTGCCTAGGCTACGGTATTGAGGTCTGAGACATGGATGTGGCCGCAAGAAACCTGGATAAATTCTGGGGTGAAGAACGTTATCAAAGAAAATTAAAAGTAGTAGCATGGGAAATCCCATTCAGTTTTGTGGGTGCTTGGCATAACAAATTCTCCCTACCGGGCTGGGCAGTGATACTCTCGTGGCCATACGAGTGGGGTCTGGTGATGCTGGAAGAATACGAGGGCTCTTTCCGGATATCTGATGCGTTTTGAGGTCTCATAGGGGGGAACGACCAGTACAGGAGGGTGACGGGCATGGATGTCAGTAGCAGATAGATTTCTTTCACTTTTTTTACCCGCAAAATAAAAGTACCCCTATTCGCCATCCACCTATTATCCTCGTGCCCACCTGTAGAGGCAGTGATTCTTGTTGACCCAGTTGGTACTCATGGATAGAGCCCAGCTTCGGTCGCCTTCGGGTTTGGATTGGTGTCATCATCTCCCATTCAGGAACTTTGATCCCCCATGCTTCTCTCTCTATATACTTGTACGAGTACAATCTATAGGGTCCTGTACATTTCCTCTCTCGATTGATTCTTCTTTTCAGCTCAGAGTTCACGGAGAAGGCTCTTGGGGTTTCTTGGATTTCTGGCGAGTTATATGGAAGAGAAACATAGTTCCAAACTGGTGCGGCTAGTGCGAATGTAGCATAATCTCGGTTTCGCTCCCGACCACTCGACGTCTTGGCTTCGGTTAATTTATCCTTGCAAACCTGGCTAAGCCCCCATCTGAGGTGGCTGGATTTAACGTGTTTTTTTTTGCGATGTACTCGAGTAGTACCGCACTCACACCCTGCGATCTCGGATGGCCGGGGTTCGAAGAATCTGTGCGGCACGGTGAGAGGTCGAGGATTCGGATGGGACGGTGAGTAATGCGGATTATCGAGATCCCGGACAACTTCGTGTGACTGCAGATCGGCCGTATGAGGGAGCAAGTGGAGGACAAGAGTTGTCCAGCCCAGCTGATGAGAGATCAGTGCCTGGAGAAGGAAGGCCAACCGGAGACCGCATACGGTACTCGTACGTGAAGCAAGAGAGGGGAGTTACCGTACCTATTGATGACCGGCCCACGAAACACTATTAGCCCCCAATAGGCTCTCCTTTAACATGGGAGTTTGTGATGCTGTGTAGGTCGGGACGGAGTTCTGAGGGAGCTATCCTTGGGGATTTCCTGGCGACCGCCCGTTGCCTAAGGGTAAAACACATACAGTGTACCAGTGGCATGCTACGAGTACTGTACTACCGTATAACCATTGTTTAAGGATAAGGCAACGACCTGCCCCCTCCAGCACATCTCAGACCAGATTCACCGAACACAAACGGTCGCAGAAAGACGGCTGAGAATCTTCTTCGAAGGTTCCAGGAAGTCAAGACTATTGGCTATGGACAAAGATTAATGCTCCGCATGGGTGGTTGACCTCGGACAAAACGTAATACCCATTATTGGCTAAAAAAAGGCACGGAACCAGGGTACTTCAGGGTGGAGCATCATTAAGGGGAAGAAACAATTCGGAGTTCCAATGCAAGCATGGCTAGAATCAATCAAACGCGGTAAGGTTGGAAATGCTTACCTGACACCTATATACCGGTATTCCCGTTCACAAAATTGAACTCCCCTACCAGCGACCGCAGTTGCTAGCACTCTGAAGCCTTGAAAGCCCATTCGCGGGCAAGTATTAGACATGCCAAAATTGGAAAGCTGATTGGATCTATATAAGCTCGGCGATAACCCTCTTGAATATACCAGCAGAGGTATCTGTAATATGGCCGGTGTGTTCTGGCCCTAGGTGTGCATTCCCAAAAATTGAAATATCCTCTGGGGTCGCACTTTCCACGCTTTTTTTTTTGAGCTGAATTTACTTGTATCCGGCAATAAGTATCTGAAAACACGGATTGTGTTACATAACTGCAAAGGAGAAAGACCGTTGTCTTATTTTCAGATACCTCGTTCCGTATACCCGAGCCTTACACTATCGACCTCCCCTATTCCCAATTGGCACCTTAGTACCGGGGTGAGCGGCGTCCACCTGATTCTAGAGACATATCCAAAGAGGCGTATATCGAGCAGCAGAGCGCCGACAGGGCATGGTGGTAGATATTAAAATCCGGCTAGGTACCTCCCCATTAACCAAATGTGGAAGACGTCGCTATTGTTAAAAATGTTGATGGCCGAGTAACTACCGTGGAGGGTGGCCCTGAGGAAATTACCCTCCGGGCCGTAGAGGATGAGGGAAATTTATTGCAACTGGATGAACTCGTACGAGTGCTAGTACCGGTGCCGGTACCGTTACGTGTAGAGTGCCAACAGTTTTCAAGGTGCGCCCTGACCGATTCGGCGACGCTGGTTTGGCTCTCCAGAGGGGGGCGTCTCTCGTTTACCGAACCAAGGAACGCGCGCATCTCGATTAATAATACGGAGCTTGATTTCAAGACTAACTTGCTAAGGGAGTAGGGTACGTAAACAAAATACGAATCCTTCATCCTTTCTCTTGAGTTTTCCGTGAATGGACGGTTAGGGTATCCTGAGCTCTCGCCCCACACGTCTTGGCCGGGCTGGCGGGCGGGGCCAACCCCCAAAACGTTCCCGCTTCCGAGTATCACAAAACCGGCGGGCGCTGCTCGCTTACCTTGTGTGCCGTGCGGTCCGCTACGGTATCTGGGAACCCCCTGATCTCGAGACAGAAGCTGCTGAGCGGGATTAGCGTTTCCCCGACACCGTACAGTACCTTAGAAGTACCGTAACCGCTGTGTATATACAGACCGTTGCCGAGAGGGGGACCTCAAGAATATACAGCACCTCTTTTAGAGCAGGTTAGGGTCACCTGAACACTCGCTAGCTAAACAACAAGAATTACTCGTAGGTTTGGTCTCCACCTCGCTTTGATGTTTTTCTCCTATTTCTTCCCTATATGGTATAGCTCAACACCAATTTTGGACCCTGGACCCCTCCTTCTTGGCAACGGTCTCTATATACAAGTTACAGGCATATAGAACCCGAACACAGGGATGATGAATTTGTATGGCAAATTGTCTGTGCGTATCTGACCGCCCATACAAAATTCGGACTCAAATGTTCGGGTTCTAAATGCCTGTAACTTGTACATGTACACAGTGGTCGCGGGGCTCGAGTACGGTACCGGTACGGTGTAGGATCAGCCCGGCGGGCGTGCCAGATCTCGTTCACTCGTTTTCGCAATTCTGTTAGCCTGTCACGCTAAACGGTCCTGGCCTGACACACCGACGGCTCCTGGTGGTGGTAGTGGGTGGGATTCGGGAGATTTTTACGGTACCGCGGTTCTGATTGTGCACTGACTTGCCTTCAGCTGATTATGTATTCGCCCTGGAGAATCGTTACTATCGTTGGAATGGGTACGGGTACGTGTATAGCGCGGTAAATATGTTTTCTGCCATGTCCCAAATATGACCATTCCTCTTCTGCCTCTTCCCGGATCATGACCACCCTCCCTGAAATGAGGGGAATCATCAGACACGTTAGAGGTGGATGTAAAACATTCGTATGATATCGACCTGCCCTGAGCTGTTAAATGCGTGGTTGTATCATGAGGTATGTTTTATGGTGGACAGCTTTGTGCCCCGAGAACTGAGGAATCATAGCGGAATGTTAGTGCTCTACGCAGGGCTGTCCCAAATACATGCTTGATTTTTTGCTATATCCCCGTGGTCAGGTAAACTACACCTACTGGGAGCAGCTTGACCCCCAGGATGCTGGCTCATATCAGGGATTTGCCCCCGAAGAGCTCCACGACTCATTCCTAGTTCATATAGTACCGGCGCTCGCTCGCGGTGTTTCCAGTGGGCCAGGGCCGTTGAAACTAGGCCATGTGGGCCAAGAGACCAGAAAGCCAGGTTTGGCACAGTTAGAACGAGCTAGCCCATGAGATCCCTCAGGCCTAGAAACTGTAGCTTAAAGCGCAAGGGAAGAAAATTAATTTGTAGAAGTCTGTTAATACAAATAAGATATAAATATTGGAAATAGTCACATAAGAATAACAGCTAAGTTATTTAGTTCTGAATGTATTAAAGGCGAAGAAAATTTATACACTCTCATTCTATGGAACTTGTGCTAGACTAATTAAATATTCAACAATGAGATAACTCATCTATGGTAGGAGCCAAGTAGGCCCAGTAACCCTTCTATATTGTAGTAAAGTATACAAAGTGTATTTCCTGAATTTCGGCAATTTTGTTTTGGAAGTACTGTGATAGGCTACTACTTCTACTAAGTTCAGGATTGCAGAGTCTATTGCAGCAGATCCGGTAATTGGCGAGACATAAGTTTGATATTGCAGTACTCATGGTTGACAAACTTACTGGTGTTATGCTTCAGTACTCTTCAAGACTCATCGTTTCAGAAATTGCAGATTCTTGGTTATTTAAATTTCTGAATTTATAATTGTTATTAAACAGACCTTCATCGTAGCTCTTTTTTGCTTTGTAATATTGGCCTACTTTGAGGGATTACTCTAGATCACTTGATTCTGCTATTCTTTACTCCTCATTATTGCCCCTCATCCTTGTTCTATAGCCTCTGAGTTTTGTAGTTAACCACCGTTGGCCCAGGCTGGTGCGTA